GGCGTGAAGGAGAAGGAGAGGGAGAACAAGAGGGGAGGAGGGGAGGGATGATTCTGCGCGGTCGCGCAAAAAGTAGATCGTAGCAAAGTCACCAAGTAACTTATTCTATGTCCCTCTGTTGCCTTTTATTTCTCTCCCTCTCTCTTTCTCTCTCTCTCTCCATCGTCGACAACGTCCTGTTCGAGGCAACCTCTTTTCCTCGTACAATGCTCAGGGCCCCCGCCCCGCTCCCCTATTCAAATCGTGCCACGGCGTGCGCAGACCACCACATGAAAGATTAAGGTCCCCGCATCTTTTGTGTCAAACGAAAATGTCTTTTGACGTGGTATGTCTCCCCTTCCTACCCCCCGCCCTTTCCCTCTACGCCCTTGCGCGGCGCGAGCACACACCGGCAATACCCTCCCACCCCCAAACCCCCGCTCATGCTCCTCCTCACCCCAGTATTCTCGTACCCCTTCTCGCAACCCCACGCAAGGAGCGGATGTTGGTACTTCTGCTTGTGTGCTCTTTTGAAGGATGGGAGGAGGAAGCGTTATGGGGATTTTCGCATTGAGGTGGTAGCATTATTGCTCGCAGGCGACGCGCGCAAAGTCGTATATAGCCGGGGCGCGGCGGGCAGATCCGCGCGCCGCACAAGAGAGAGCCTTTCGATTTCAATGCCGCAAGGGCCGCCCTCTCCGCCCTGTGCCTGCCTACTCGCGTCAAACCGACCCAAAATAGATTCTCTCTCTCTCTCTCTCTCTCTCTCTCTCTCTCTCTCTCTCTCTCTCTCTCGTGTCACACACACACGCGCAGTTTGTATATGATTCTCTAAGCGAGTACATCGTGCACTAGTGCATGCGGCAAGGAAGACTTTTGGGAAGATTGGCGGGGCAAACATGTATTAATTAGAGTGTTGGTGGAATGAGACTCGAAATAATTAAAGGCTTATTCCGCCAGTTTCTTTATTTGGAGGAATTTTTGACGACAAGCACACGCGCACTGCTCCTCCTCCGCACAAGGAGTGGCAGTGCGACGCGGTGCAGGTGCTCGCCGCCACGCGATGCGGCCGGACGCCCCCCAGTTTGCCTTTTAATTGTTGTTTAGTCGCACGGCGGCGTGTTTAAACACTCGGCGCGGTCTCGGCGCAGGTGGTGCGGGCGCCGGCAGGTAGAGGGCCAGGCGCGGTGGTGGTGGGACGGGACGCGACAAGAAGGCCCTCTCGGCCCGTCCTGCCCACCTGACAGTTTTGTGGGCAAATATTGACCACCGGTGCCGTGGCGTGGCCGGCGTGGCGGTGGCGTGGGGCGGCGCGGGGCGGGGCGCTCGCGCCGTCGCTGGCCACGGTCACGGTGCCGGCCCGGAGCGTGGTAGGGTCAGCCGCCCGCGCCCGCCTTCCCTCCTGGCAAGAATAAACATTATTCACGTTCTCTTTTGCCTGGCCCCAAAACGCATCACAATAGACCAATTTCTCTGCTTACTCTTCGCTCTCGGCCACGGTGTGACCAGATGGAAATTTTGCATATACGACGCGTCGCGTGGATAAGACGAAATTTTCAGGGACGTAGTGAAAAGAACAAAGAAAGTCTGAATGTCACACTGAAAAAGAGTCGCAAGTTTTGGGGGGAAATTTCGAATAACATTCCAGTGAATTTTCACGTAATGGATAGAAATTCAGGGAACAAAGGTGCATCACAGCTGCCATACAAGAGCGTATACAGTCAGAAGCCCATATTTCGGACGTTTTTTGAGGAAAAACGCCTGTGACATGTAGAATTTTTGAAATATGAAAAATCGCAGGGGATTCTAGAATCCTCACGTCGAGACGCACCTACCACTCTCCAAAAATATTTTTTCGCGCTAACGGTGTAGCGGTGAGGACTGTTTGAATCGTGTCCGTATTTAGGAACCAATGCGTCCTAAATTCGGACAGCTTTGAAAAATTATGAAAAGTGAAATTTTTTTGGGGGGTATAGAAACTTCATGAAAAAATTTGACCTCACCCTACCGTCCAAATTTTTTTATCTGGTATAGTTTAGTCGCCAGAGCTGCTTAAAGATCGCTTTTAGCGGGCCCTAAATTCGGACAGTAGTCACTTTTGCATGTAAAAGCCTATGTCCGAATTTAGGGCGCATTGCAAAAACGCTTCCCAAAACTAAACCGTGCGACGAAAAATCAAAAACTTGGTGTCATATTGTAGATAAAAGTACCAAGTTTCACATATGTTGTGATCAGAATAACCCGGGCTTACACTGTTCGGAGCCCCAGATTCTTGCAAGACACATTTAAAAACGCCTGTTTTAGGGGGCTGAAAATAGAAATTTCAAGAATTTCTGGAGGAAGCAATATCACTCGCACATTATTTTTTTTGGCAGAAATGGAAACTTGGTAGTCTTATCTTTCAATCAAACCCATAGAAGTTAATTTTTGTCAACGCATTGTGGATTTGGAGGCGACAATAGTGAAATACAGCACAATGTCCGGAATTAGGGTGCCGGTCCGAAATATGGGCTTCTGACTGTAGTTTCCTTGTCATATATATATACCATTTCCATCCTGCCGACAAAGCTGGAAAGAGAAGGAATTATTCGGGGAACAAGGAAACTCGACGCTCAAGCATGGCGGCTGTGATGCACCTCTGTTCCCTGAATTCCCATCCATTACGTGCAAATTCACTGGAATGTTATTCGGTGTCTCCGGGAAGCATCGACAAGAGCAGTCGCGGTCAGAGACGCGAACACGCGCCTGTGTTTGCGTGTGTGTGTGTGTGGGAGAGAGAGAGAGAGAGAGAGAGAGAGAGAGAGAAAGCGTTTCTAGTTTCTGGAATTAATGTTGACCACCGAGCTTTCTCCTTTATCGGGGGAACAGGGAGGTGGAAAGAGTGGCCGAACCGTGTCCCTTGTTACACTTGTCAGACATCGCGGGGCGTCGCAGGGTTAATCGGGGGACTGGGCTGCAGCCGGGACGGGGAGCACGGGCAGGGAAAGGGGAGCGGGAGGAGGAGGAGGAGGAGGAGGAGGAGGAAGGTGGAAGCTCGCGGGGTGGGTAGGTCGCCACGCACCGACCGCCACCACGTCCCCGAATATCAACTCACGCAGAAATAGCTCAAAATTTGAGATCGCTGCAGCCGAGTCTGAGGAGAAACGGGGTAAGAGGGAGCTGGGAAGCGGCGTGGACAGGGAGGAGGGGAAGAGGGCAGAGGGGGGGGGGGGGGGAGACCTCATTCACTAGCTCAGCATGAATGGCACAGGAACCTCCACCCTACCCTCTCCCCTCCCCTCCCATCCTCACCGTCACCGGGACCGGGGAGCACACGAAATTAACGCTCCTCCACTCCAAGTCCCCCGTGTGAACAGAGGGAACGATGCAAGTGTCGTGACAAGTGGACAGCGTAAAGGGGGGATGCTCGAGGCGCTGGGGAGCGCGCGCCATTTCCTGGACGGCAGCACTAGCCGACCGACAGCGGGGGTGTGTGAACTGGGACAGGTCGGACGGCGAAGTCAGCAGGTCCCCCGCCCCCGCACGGCGCCACAAAGGAGGCCCTCGCGCACCCGGAGGCGTTTTGTCACGACGAGCTGCCTTGGGGCCGCCGTCGCCGCGCTTTGGTCCAGCAGCACTGCCACCAAAGAGAGCATCATCAGCCCGTGGAAGAGAGTAGGAGAGAAGAAAGAATGATTCATTTGACCCCAAATTAAAGCGGGACGCTCTAGGGCGCGAGACCTCACTGGGAGAGAGGGGGGGTGAAGGGTTAACCGCGCCGGTGCCGGCGGCGTGCCGAGGGTCGGCGCACCCTCGGCTCGGGGATCGACTTGGCACAGAAATAGCACGGAAAACCTCACGCATATGAACATCGGGGAGGCGTATAAGAAAATAATGTAAGAATAAAAGAGAAGGGAGGTGATTCAAATTAAGATGTTAATGACGTATCTTAACCCCCCCCCCCTCGCTTAACAATGAATAGGCCACCGAGAGCGGGACAGTTAGAAAGAGACTGACATGGGGGAGAGAGGAAGGGAGGCAGAAGAGCGTGGTGGATGCAGTGAGAGCGAGCGAGAGAGGCAGGGGCGCTGCACGATGTGACACCGAAATACAACCAGCAATATTTTACGCCAGGCTACATCCGGTGGGGGTGGGGCACGGTTGGGGGG